AGTTTTAAATATGCAAATTCGCTGGTTAACGAATGCATAAAAGCGACCAGCTGGATATAAACTAAGTTTTCCTCATCCGTGTCACATACAACATTAATCCATGATGAATAATAGACTGTCAATTGCCAAGCGAGCGTCTGAATGTAGAAAGGCGCTATTCTAATGGTATTTCAGTCTGCCCTCTGTGCAATTATGGCAGGCCGCTCCATCCTTCAAAAGATTGAAAGGTTTCGTCTGCAACTTTATCTTACTGCCTCTCGACACAAACAACAGCATATATCTCTGGGAAAACAACCCGGGATACAGATTTTCATTGGGCGTGCGTTGCCTGCACACAGCAGAAAATGAAAGCCAGCCAGCGAGCAAAGCAATTATTTCTTATTTGAAAATTTCAAGAATGGCGAGCCAGGTATGGCTCAGCACGCTTAATAAAGCTCTGCTGCTCGTTATACTTTCATGAAAACAGTGTTTTCTAGCCTGAAGGAAATAAATCAGTCTTGCTGCTCACTGGCCCTGACCCAGGGGTCACATTTTTATAGATGGCTACTTCATCATCCAGCAATCCGTTCTTGGACTGCACATAGAAGACGTGCAATTGCTTGGACTGACTAGAGCAACCTTGTTCTCTGATCCTTGAAAACAAGTTAAATTGATAAAACAAACAGGTAAATCCAGCCAGATATACTACCATGCCACTTACCAATGCATTCAGGTGAAAAGCCATGATTTAAAGAGTTTTTTTTTTTTTTTTTTTTTTTTAAATCAGAGCGTTACTTTTTTGGTTAATTTTACAATAATTTAATGTATTTTTTCAATATTTAATATTTTAGAAAATTAAATATAGCATTTTAAAAAATACTATAATGCTCTAATTAAAAAATGGCACTCTTTAAATCATAGCTTGACACCTAAATGCATTTAGAAAATTATGCACATAGAAAAATTATTTTTTTATCATGCAATCTCATTATTGTTTAGATATGATGATTATACAGACAAAAGTGGTGGAAAGACAAATGAGATTATTATATTTGTGTTGTATTGCATTATATTTACACTATGTCATTATGTATTATTATATTAGTATAGATTTGAAGAAAACACAACAAATTTTGGAGAATGACTAAGTATGGCTCTTTTAAAGAGAGGGCACGTTTAACCTTTTGACCCCGGTCACATCTGCACTCGGAAGATGGGAGAAATAAATCACACCATAAACCAGACAGATCACCACAAAATGGCCATGTAATGCATTTACCCTGATGCTGTCATGATGCAAAAGGATCGTTAAGCGTAATGCAATAAATATCAGAACTGTAAAGCTATGAAACGCTTTCAGTGTTTACTTGATATAGCATTACTGAAGTCTGCTTTTGCAGGTAACAAAACCACAGTTATATCTGCCCTGTCCAGCACTTTGTCTGTCATCTGGTCCCTGTACATTGGATAAAAGCGTCTGCTAAATGATTAAATGTAAATGTACATTAATGATAGTGTCCTAAAAATAACAGCCGTATGTAATAACATTTCTGCAGATGCTTTCTAACGGAGAGCGTAAACACTGTCCTCATGTGCCTGTGTGAAGTAATGTGATCAGCAGCTTTACTGTGCTGATCTGATCACTGGACTACATGCCAAACCAATTAAGAGATCAAGAACACCCGCCTGACATCTTGAAACGGTTACAAAAGACGGTTTGATTGCTAGGATCTGGACGAGGCTCACAGAAGGAGGCCTTTGCTCTGTTGGAGGTCTGAGGAGTCATGCAGAAATTTGAAGGTTTTGATGTTTGATAGCCTTGAATGCAAATCCGAATCTAATCCAAATATTATCTTCTGAAGCCATATGATAACTAAATTTAAGTCGTTATTCACAAAACAATTCTGTGATGGGTCGGTGGAGCTTCCATACTGGACTGGACAGCAATTTAAAGGGATAGCAATTTTTCACCCAAAAATGGAAATTTGATGTTGATCTGCTTACCCCCAGGGCATCCAAGATGTAGGTGACTTTGTTTCTTCAGTAGAGTGCGCACGGCATCCGGTGCGTGAGGTGTGTGCGCGCTCTGGCGTAGTTTACGCTCATGGGTGTGTTGATATCCAGCCGAAGAGCAATCAACCATAACTTCAGGCGAGCAGGCTCAGAAGTTGGGAATACGTGGAAAGTCACCACTCCCGAATGAGTTCACGCGAGAGAACGTAATCTTTTAGTTTTAAGTCGGTTTGAACAATCCGGACAAGCGCAAGTAAGTACCATTTTCATTAACCATCGTACCTACAATGACTGTGCACTGTGTAAACAATGAGTGACGTATACGCGCGAGAGATCACTTCCGGTGCTTGCGTAAACTACGCCAGAGCGCGTACACACCTCACGCACCGGATGCCGTGCGCACGCCCAAAGACAGTTGGACATAGTGGTGTATTAGAGGTAAAAAATGATATAAATACTGTTCGGTTTCTGGCACAAACCGATCGTTTCGTGTCTTAGGACATCAATGTGTCGTCACGAGCCGCAGGGTTTAATTTGGATTTGTCTGTGCATGTTTTTTTTACTCTCATAGATTTTGTTACCATTGCCATGCATTATACGACTGATAGACTGCAACGGTTAAAGTTAAAAATCATCATATGTGTTCTACTGAAGAAACAAAGTCACCTACATCTTGGATGCCCTGGGGGTAAGCAGATCGACATCAAATATTCATTTTTGGGTGAACTATCCCTTTAAGTCTTAGAAAATAATTTATTGTCGTAACCGATTGTAAAAACTTACTCGCTTATGGAAAACGCATTTCTGAAAATTGGAATATCTATAAGTACCAATAATTTACCATATTTGTGAAGCTTGGGGTATAGATTTGCAATATGACCTTTCAGATTTAGAATGGAGCCAGATATGTGTTAAAGCCCAGAATTTGTCAATTAATACTTGGATTTAAGTTGATCCAATACAACTGGATAATGCATACTTATGTCACCCCTGAAAAGTTAAAGAAGTTTAACCCAAACATCCCAGATATATGTTTCAAAAGGGGACATTCTTTCACTGTATTTGGTAATGTGAGGTGATTAAGACATTCTGGCAAAAAATGATAACACTAATTTCCTAAATTTCTAAACCAATTCCAGTTACCCCTGACATGCTTTGGGTTTATTTCCTGTAAGTTTATCATTACCAGGTTATCACACTAAAATGACTAGTTATTGCAAGATGTTTAGTAGCATTCTACTGGCCATTGACCATTGTTTGAAAGATCTGGCACATTACATTGTATTGGAAAGAAAAACTACAGTATAAAATGCAAACTAAAGGACTACCACAAAAATTGGGATCTGTTTAGTTTCTGGAAAATAACCAAATATTGGCCCAGGCAATAAATAGCTCTCACTCTACTGATTGATATGTGTATATGTGTTGCAATTTTGTATTTGAAAATATGTGCATATCTCGGCCTTGCCTTAAATTGTTGGATGCTTTGGTGGGTGGGGGTGGGGAGTTAAAATATATATAAAAATGTATTTTCTCTGGATATTTTCATGTTATCTTCCGTCTTTTAAAAAAAATAAAACTATGTTAAAAAAAACATTTAGCATAATTGTGAAAATAATAAAATTGCTGAATACAAATCAAACAATGCACTGCCTTTGTGCGGTCACGTATGCAAAGGAAGGCAAGAATGTTAAAATATCAATTTTCTCTAAGCAACTGGTCATATTTTTATTGTGAATTTCTGCTCATAGCTCTTGTATTTCATTTAAATTTCCGCATATTAAAACATGTTCACAGGACTTTGTCAGTTTGGGGCAAGTTGTCGCATTTTAATGACAACAATGTGTTATAAATGAATACGGTTAATGAATTATATTTATTGGGTAAACAATTAGAGTATTCCATATTTTTGTTTGTTTCCTTGTTTTGCTATTTAAAGCCTGTAATCGGGTTTCACTGTGAGAAATTACCCTGTATAATATGGTGACAGGTGTTTGTGTCCTGAACAATAACAAATCAATCTGAAAACAAATCAACTAATTCAATAGTTTGAAAATTGTCAATACCTTTTTGTATCCAAGAATAGGTTATATACAGAGCATAGAGTAGCCTATATATCCTGTACATAAACTGAGTTTCAGAAATAAAATGTGTACTGGAGTAAAAAGTGTGAAAACTTCTGTCCTGTTTTAATATATTTAAATATGCACATAAACTGAATGAGAGTTGGGAACTGCACCAAATGTGGACTACATTTTATGGTCGTTTTTTTTTTTGCGTTCTCTGTTTGCACTTTTCTGGGGTAAACAACCCTACTATTATTATAAGGGGGCAAGTTGTCGCATTTTAATGACAACAATGTGTTATAAATGAATACGGTTAATGAATTATATTTATTGGGTAAACAATTAGAGTATTCCATATTTTTGTTTGTTTCCTTGTTTTGCTATTTAAAGCCTGTAATCGGGTTTCACTGTGAGAAATTACCCTGTATAATATGGTGACAGGTGTTTGTGTCCTGAACAATAACAAATCAATCTGAAAACAAATCAACTAATTCAATAGTTTGAAAATTGTCAATACCTTTTTGTATCCAAGAATAGGTTATATACAGAGCATAGAGTAGCCTATATATCCTGTACATAAACTGAGTTTCAGAAATAAAATGTGTACTGGAGTAAAAAGTGTGAAAACTTCTGTCCTGTTTTAATATATTTAAATATGCACATAAACTGAATGAGAGTTGGGAACTGCACCAAATGTGGACTACATTTTATGATCCTTTTTTTTTGCGTTCTCTGTTTGCACTTTTCTGGGGTAAACAACCCTACTATTATTAATATAAGGAGAGCAAATATTAATGCACATCACTGTGTCCAAATAATGGAAAAATAATGCACGCCATATTTCACCCCATGCTCATCTGATGTATCAGTAGAGCAGCATTAAACCCGCCTCCAGCTGTCACCCTCCAATCAAACTCATCTGAAGCGCTGCGCGCACTTTCATGAATGAATGAGAGCGGCTTCAGGACAGCAATCCTCCCGGGACAGTCGCATCCTCGCTCTCCTGCACGGATATTACAACCTCTGTTTCTACCGTCCGCGCAAAGCATGGAAGTACGAGTCCCCTCGATCTCCCTCTGACACGATGACACTCTACAAAGCGGATTTGGTTGAGGAATGCCGCTCCGCGAAGCGCTCGGAATGGGACGCGCCCGCTGTCATTCGCGCGTTTGGCTACCAGCTGGTCAAAGTGAAGCGAATAAAGTCCTGAAGAGAATGGCCGTCTACAGAGCGTCCTCAAAGGGATGGCAACTTTTAGCAACGCGCCCCTGGACCTCCGGAGACTCTTGCAAAAACTAGTCATCATGTTTTCCTTCAGCATCATCTGCGTCTCGATCCTCTACTTTCTGCTGGGATGCTGCGAGCCGGACTTGGTGGACAGTTCGCAGAACTCACCGCTGGGATGGTACAATAAGACCGTGCTGAGAGAGATATTGACGGCGCCTGACTATGTGGCGGATGATGGCGTGGATGGAAACAGCTCAGGGAAGGACTGGACCGCGAGCCGGCGCCTCCCAGACGCGCTCATCATCGGAGTGAAGAAGGGAGGCACGCGTGCGCTCCTGGAGTTCCTGAGGCTTCATCCGGACGTCCGCGCGCTCGGCTCCGAACCGCACTTCTTTGACAGGCACTACATGCGCGGACTCGGCTGGTACAGGTAATAATGACACAGAAACGTGAATTGCATGTTGTTGTGCTTAGCCCGTTAATGATTGGAACTGCAATATAATATTGCTTTAAAGTACTTTAACGTAAACTTAAACACTGCATTCGGACTTCTGTGACATTAGAGCATGCTAGATCATTGTATGCACCCCAAAATGAAAATTGAGTCGGGGGTGGGGGGAATCCTTTTGTATTGTTAATTAGCTGGTGTCATTAAAATAAGCAAAGTTTAGTGATTGACACTTAAAGGGCCAGTGCACCCAATATTAAAATTCTGTCATGAACTACTCATCATCGGTACCGATATCCTCGTGGGCAGTGTGCCGACATATTCGGGTGTCCCGAGTTCGAGTCCCGGCTTGTGGAACTTTCCTGATCCCAACCCCTCTCCCACGTTGCTTCCTGTCAACTATCTGTCCTATTAAAACAAAAGACAAAATCCCAAAAATAAATCTTTAAAAAAATGAACTACTCATCCTAATGTCACTACGGAACACAGAAGATATTTTGGACCAATCTTGGGTTTCGAACAACATTAACTTTCCCTTAAAGGACAAAAAACACTTTAAAAAAAAAATATTTTCTTTTGTGTACAGCAGAATGAAGTCACGGAGAAAGTTGTGAAATTACTGAATGGTGAAATATTTTTAAATCAATCAATCAATAAGAACATTACATACCAATAAGTCAAAGTAACAACATAATAACAACAATTGCTGCAAGAGCAAAATAAATCAGTGCATAGTTAAAGTAAAATGCAACTGCATTATTCATGCACTGCATTGCATATTGGTTCCTTGGACAGTGGGCATCATAATATTGCAACTGCTACAGTAAAACTAAGCAGCAACTGTTATCCAAGAATACAATACAAAGTCACACATTTTATTTACAGTGCACTTACACTTTCCTAAACAGTTATGCAACTTTGCATGCAGCGTTTCTTTAGGATAGCTTGTGTTGTAGTACATTCCTTTATATTTTTATGTAATATGTTGGCAGGCACTGTTACATTTGCACAAGCTAACGCTACTGTCCGAAAGTGCGAATTTCACCACTGCGTGACCTCAATGCAATCTACTCCCAAAAGCGTATTATTTGATGAGGCGTGGTATCAGTATAACACTAGTCCATATTATGATATTCGTAAAGGTTTGAGTGAGAAAAATAATGCCATCTGGCTATTGCAATCCACTGAAGTGGGGCTGGATAGATGGCAGTGTTAATCATCTCTGGAGCTGTTGCCAGATGTTCCTTTATATTGAGAACACTTGTGTCGACTGCTGCATTTGAAATATGTCTTGGTATCTTGAAACATCTAAAAGTGTCTGGCAAATTTGGCGGATAGGGAATTTAGTCTGCAGTTGTTGGGAACGAGGCCTTGCACTCTTAGGCATCATGTCAATCGGTTATTTATTGGCTTGTCTAGAAAACAGAGTGGCAGGTTGATCAACAAGCCCATTGGCGATTCTGTCCGTATCCTCAATAAAGTCTCGCTCTCAATTTTATGGTTTGTCACGCTGCCTTTGAACTGTTCAGAGAGTTGACAAAACTCAATTACTTACCTTTTAAGCAGCTGATTGATTGTTTTGTCAATTCAAAATCGGCTCGCTTAGTGTCGGAGGCCACATTAAAATGCTTTTGAAACACTTCTACGGTTGTTGTTTGCCTGTAAGCATATTGCTTTGATATTCCTTTGTGTTCTGCACATAAATCCCCAGTGTTCTGCTCAGAGGAACGAGCCGAGAGCAGGCAGATTGTCATCTTCCTGGGACCAGATGGACCTCACAGCATGACGGGCCACTTGACATTATTGTGAGACCTGTCAATTGATCTTTAACCCGAGTCACATTTTCCACCAAACATAATGATCTGCGCCAGGGACTTCATATGGTCAGAGGAGCCACAGATAAGCGGACAAACGCAGATCCTGGAATCTGTCCACGCTGACTTATTCGGGTCTAATGGAATGGACCGGTCATTAATCTTGTTATCAAGCGTAGATTAAATCTGTAGGTGTAGGTGGGGGTGGGATGCTGGTTTTGCAATCTCAATTCAGATCTTTTCCAAAGATGGCAGAAAAGCGCGGATAAGATCTGGAACAAGGCCGAGGTGATAGATGGAGTTTTGTCCTTATAGTGTTTCTACGATTGATTGGCGCCAATGCTTGACCTTCACTTCACGCTAGAGTTAAACCGGTTAGATTCAGTTACAATTAGCAAGAGGTTTCATTCTGCCGAGACTCCGAGTTCAAGTTTCAAACGCCAATACTGTCACTTTCCTTTAAAGAAATCTATTTGCTGTAAGTCACCCTCAATAGTGCACGAGAAGGAGGGCGAACGCGAACAATATTTGAGATCTAAACATTATCCATCATGTGAGAGCTTTGAAACAGACATTTGCCGTTTTTGAAGCCTGAAAAGCATCAATATATTGATTCAGAGGTACTAGAGGGACAGGCGAGCCAAACCGAAAATCTCAAGACCGATTTCCTGGAACCATCCGATAAAATAAGAAGCATGTTTTTCTTCAGTCCTTCTGGAATGCACTTTCACTGTGATAATAGTGCTGCGTCACGCGCTGTAATTTGGTTTGCTGGTGTTGCATCTGATGTCATCACATTATGGGAATTAATTTGCAATTCATGGAGCGGTCATTAAAATGGCCGTTTAAATTCATACCCCTGTATTCACAGCCAAACCTTGATTTTGGCAAGAGGATTTGATTTTTTTTAACGTGCATATGTTTACACGCCAAAAAACGTAATTAGTTTGTGAGCATCCCTGGTTTTGTTATGCAGAAATGAGACATGCCTTTATAGCAGTTCATAGGCTTGTCCCGAGAGGAGCTTTTTTGAGGCCATTAATTATTAATGCACTTGTCTATATGAGTAGTGCATCTACTTCACAAATACATAGACTCATCAAAATACTGCTGCAAAATAGGATGGCGATATTAATAGAGGAATACAAGAGCTTTTACAAATGAAAACGATGAGATTTTGCAACTTCCACATGCTTTTCGCACAAACACAACAAAACAACATGATTCGTACTACAAGAGCCAGATCTGATTGTCAGTTATTATATATAATACTACATGAAATAGATGCCTGATGGCATCATGTGGGAGTCTGGTGTGAATTGTTTGTGTATATATGTTTATTTTGGCCAGGTGTCTGTATTGGCGTGAGTTAACTGTAGTTTATGGAATCAACATAAGGCTAGATGGTGCAATGGTAATTCAGCTCTCATTAGGTGTCTCAGGGGAGTGGGAATGGGGATCTGGCGTCTGAGCCCCTTGATGATGGATGTTTCTGGGAAGTGGACAGGGCACAGTTACAACTGACTGGCTTTTTAATGGCCTCTATATGCAAAGAAACGGATGGTTGGGCCCAAACACACACACACTATATATATATATATATATATATATATATATGGGTCATGGTAAAGTTGGTAAAATAAAGATTAAATATTTAACATATTTAAAAACAAATTTTTAATAACAAAATAATGAAAGTTACATGGCTCCGCAGCAATATTTCACTGCTCTACTGTACAATATCTTTCTCTGTAAATAAATAAATAAATGCTAGTAATGGTGGTAAAAGTAATAAAATAAATATTGACAGATACAAAAATTATAATGTGCCAGTAAATGTAATAAAAAAATAATAATAATAAAAGCTTGTATTGGTAGTTGGTAAAAAAAAAAGGGGGTAAAATAGTTATTTCACATATTTAAATAAACATTTAATAACAAAATAATGAATGTTACTCCACTGCAATACTCCACTGCCTCACTGTAACTCCTCACCTTAACTCTTTCTCTATAAATAAATAAATGCTATTAATGGTAGTAAAATAATAAAATAAATATTGAAAAATGTTGATTATAAATTAAATAAATAAATAAATAAATGTTTTAGTAATGGTAGTAATAAATCAAATAAATATTTAACAAGACGGTAATGACTATTAAGAATACTCTACTGTACAAACTCTGTGTATTTCTACTTTTGTTTGGATCCTCTGGTCGCTAAAACCACTGCACTAACACTAATCCAGTCTCTACAGTCCCCTCCCCCTCACACACACACACACACTTCTCCATCTCCCTGCTTCATCTGCCATCCATCAATACATCACACAGCTCTCCTATGCAAATAACATCACTTAGCCTATAACTCTTTCAAAATACACACTCCCCGAGCTCCCCCTGAACCAAAACACACTTTTATCCCATTATTGCCATTGGACACCCGCAACTTTATCTAATTACAGCTCTCTAAATTATACACACACACACACACACACACAACATCATCCCCAACACTGCCCACGCACAACATCATCCCTTTACAGTTCACCTAAATGCACAGGTACACACACACACACACACACACACTTCCTAATCCCCATTGTCTTACTGCAAGTGTATATTCCGTTTTGCTTTGCAGAATTTAATATTTAAAAATTGGTTTCATTAAATTGTTTATTTTTTCATGAATTGACCAAATTTTAGCACTTCAATATGCTTAATTTTCACAAATTATTCCAAAGTGTCAGCAGTGAAAAATGTGTTTAAGTATTTGCACAAAAAATGTACAGTTCATAACACGTCTTGCATTTCAATATTTTTCTGTTTTTATTCAATAGTTTTTTTTTTGCAGTTAATTTTTTATTGGTAATGTATGAGTCAAATACCAACTATTATACACTATAAACAAAGATTATTGGAGGACATTACACAAGAAAATACTATTTTGTTTTGTCTACTTCGAAATTTCATGTTTTCCATTTCCATTCCTTTGTAATTATTAGTGAAATTTACTAGAAATGTCTGACCAATTTTCCTATGTAAGAAAATTTGACCAATTGGATCTGCAAGGAGGAATGGCAGAGGATCCCCAAATCCATGTGTGAAAAACTTGTTGCATCTTTCCCAAAGACTCATGGCTGTATTAGATCAAATGGGTGCTTCTACTAA